TTTCTTGGAACCCCAATAAAGGTACTCCTGTTGTGGGGAACCCCCCATATAGCGGCAGAAAGTTGCTACATGTAAAAGCCCTGGTATGATTGTAAATCTGTCAGGCCCCTGACGTGTAGGGCTTAGGGTGATAGAATATGCTCTACATTGATCATCTATAAAGGGGCCCTGATCATGTTTTTAGAGCACTATATAACACACGCGCGACCCCTTCTTTTGAGAGTCCCATATAATACTTCCCCTCTAATGAACAGCCCCACTCTCTGATATCAGATGCCAGATGTCTGCATCTTCCACCCTAAGCTTTAAGCATATTTGGAATAAGGCCTCCAAAATTGTGTCTGTGAGGAGTTTGAGCATGGCTCAGTTGCTGGACTTCCAGGAGGCAATCAGTCGGAACGCATGAACATGCGGCATCATATAGAAATCATTTTAAGTTTGTAGAATATAAGGAACCTTCCATACGGGTATGGAAAAGAACATGGAAACTAATTGGAACAGCTCACGAACCTCAGAAAATGCCCTTCTGGGACCACTTATGCATAGCGACCCTCAATGGGGTTGCAGTCACGACATGAAGCCACGGCAATTTGCCCAGAACTGTAGTGTTAAATGCAGAATAACAGGGGACGTGGGTGCTTCCGTACGGTCCAGTAACAAGAATCAGCTTTGTACTGCACTTCCCAATGCTGCTGTGGCGATACCAACATATCAAGGTGGTTACCAGGGGGTTATAAACGGAGATATGCACATACATATGGGGACATATAGGGCTATTTAGGGTCAAGGGTTTCTGGACCACTATCTATCCCCATGCTAACACTTCTAGTTGTATAGTGGGAGCATTTATTCCCAGGAGCGTTTTCTCTTCAAATGTACTCCTTATGCTTTTCACACTGGGAACATTTACTTTCAGGGGCGAGGGATTTACACGATTCAAAGTATACTACTCCATAAGATCTCATATCAATCTTTGACATGAGGTGGTGGGGTGCGGGCATCTAATGTTAGTGGAAGGTAATGACTGTTGTTTTCAGAAAAGCTTCCTGCCTCAGTGTCCCGACTGTGACACCGGAATGCTAATGCGACTTGTTGCTGCATGGCACTTTGCGGTGAACCCGCAATCTTAAACCCTGAACCTAATGATGCTTGAGCGCGAGAGGCGGGGGGGGGGGGAATACCTATAACAGTTTTTTCTCCCTGCACAGTCCCTTAGAATAGTTCCTATGTTCAGCCCCCCACCCACCCTGATGCACCTGGAAGTGAACCCTTAATCCAGCGATTGTGTGGTTCAAGGTTTGGGAATCGCGGGCTCAGGGTTCTCAATCCCTGTATAGTAATAAGGATTAGAATATATTGGG